TGAAAGTAGAGAGACACTATCTCATTTCTGAAAAATAGTCATCCTCCAAATATATAATCCTGTTTATGAATATATATAAAACAAGCTGCCTTCTTTCTGCAACATGTATGGTTCTTTCAATGACACTGTTATTGTGCGTACGTCAGCGGCATTGCTTGCTTTAAAAGAAGGCAAATAAATGGCCCTTTACGGCTTTTATGAAAACACTTAAAAGCATATAATAGTGTAACCAAAAAAATGAACGGCTGCAGACCGGCATTTGATATTTTGATGTGGAAGAAACCAACACAGCATTCAGTTTAGCAAGATCAGATTTGACCAGTTATTTGACCGGTTCAGGAAAGAAAAGTTAGCTTCTTTGATGAAACTTAAAGGTGGGGTAGGTAATTTGGAAGAAACCAGCTCGAGTGCGCTAGAATGTGAAAATACACAACCGGAACAAGTCTGCCACTTCCTTACAGAGCCCCTCCTCCAACACACACGAACGCGCACATGNTCATGAAAGTTGGTTGAACGAATGCCTCCTCATCCGGAAGCTGACCGAGCAGACCCGAGGAGCCGAGCGCATCCGCGAAGCATACAAAATGGCGACGTCAGAGTTCCCGTTGGCCGGCAAATGTAAATCTCTTCGGTCAAAATAATTTCCCTTTAGCGCAATACCGTTCAGTTGCGCCACTTATGTGACAGACAAGAAGAGTATGTGACAGACAAGAATAGTCAATTCTAATGTCTAACACTTAATGTGGAGAAAGAGATGTCCTGTCTGGGTTGATTGTGCGTTGATCTGTTGGTAATGCCTCTGGGTTCCGGTGGGCATGTAAACAAATGCATAATGCTGCGCTATACTTTGTGGCCTCACCGGTTGCATAGCGACACTTATTGTTTAGGTGTCTTTTAATAAGCAGGTAGTCCTATCATTAGCTAGAACTAGCTGGATCTGATCGATAAGGACATAAACGCGAGTGAAGTCTAATCTGACGGGAGAGAGAGATCAGCTGCTGCTGACGAGTCGACACGCAGCTCTGCATGATCACATGCAGCAGTGAGCGGAAAAAACACACACTTCAGGTTAGAATATCACACGTAGCTATTTTAATTACCTCTCAAACTACCTAAACTAGTTATAGATATGTTTAGTTTTACTGTCGGGTCACTCATTACTGGATCCGCGAGCTGCATGATACTGGCATAATAGATTGCCCGATCGGGCAACCAGCAGGTGAGGCTTCATTGCCCGAGCTAAATACTAGATGGCCCCGGGCCATCGGGCAGTCCTTAATGTCGAGCCCTGCATACACAATATATTTTTCTTTAACTTAATGCCAAATGCATTAAGAGTTAGTGTGATCCATTTGACGAACTGCCGTAGTTCTCAAATGCATCATGCATTTTCTACATTTATTAAGAAAAACCTATAGAGAGAGGTTGGTTTTTAAATCGTTACATTTAAACAATTTAATATACAAAAAGCAGTTTTTTGCTGTTTCGTTTCAGCACTAATAACTCCTGCAGCATTCAATCTCAGTGCAAACATTTTAAGCCCTTTCATCCATATGTGGCACTACAGGAACATGATACATTTAAAAGGCTGTTTAACACAACTGCACTACAAACTGCAGCCTCACATTGTGCTTCTGCTAATACAGTTTGCTGTTGAGAGGAAGTGGCTTTGTGTCTCCAGCAGACTTGATGGGCGAGCCCGGATCTCAAAACCAATCTGAAGTCGATCTGCATTAAACAGACGATCAACCAGATCCCGACTCTGGACCTCAGGCTTCATGCCAGCCTGCTGACAGTTTCATTTTACATCCAAGCACATTGCCAAGTCCAGCAGAAATACACTCATCGGCCGTTTTGTGTAAAATCATGTCAGAGAAGTGTACATACTATTGAAATGTGTTTATAGACCACATGCTTTAAACCTTTGTCCCAGAGTTGGCTTTTTAAGATATACAATAACTTTTGGGTTAGGGTTTAGGGTTATAAAGCAAACTACACACTGATTAGAAGAGTTTCCCTGTTGTATGTCCCTGACAACCTCTCTCAATAAGAAACTTTTAGCAACCTGCAGCTCTATCTTTGCATCAGTATTGTCTTGTCGTGCTATCTGCATTTGGTTCATGAAATGGAGAAGTGGTAACTAACCACGTGTGTTTCTGGTCGTCATGAAGAGGAAATGTGACTTTGTTTGACCCCCGCCTTAGACGTTTGTCAGGGGAAAGAGCTGGTGGTTAATGCGGCTGTCAGCTCTTCATCAAGAATACACACACGCTAAACTCTTTCGTTTTAAGTGTACTGAAAAGTAGACTTGTTTTTCTGCACAAAAAACAGAGATGTGCTTTGATGCAAAGGGTCATGGCAACCCGTGACTCATATCAGCATTTCTAATCTGCTCACAGAACAAGACGTCAAGTCTGTGGGAAGCTACTGTACGAGGGAGAAGGAGAAGAAGAAGAAGAAGAAGAAGAAGAAGAAGAAGAAGAAGAAGAAGAAGAAGAAGATGGTGGCGGTTGTGGGGGAGGGGGACTGCTGGCCTATTCAATTGTAGGTCAACTCCTACAGTACTTTCAAATACTATCGTGGTGTTTTCTAAACGAGACGCAAAAAACCAAGCCTAAGGTCAAAGAAATCAAAGTCGCTACAGGCTAATTTAGAAAGTGAAAGTAGAGAGTAAAGTTCTCCAATCACAACTTCTGTCTCTGTATACTTCAGTAAACCCCTTAATGTTTGAGTCTTATGGCAGTTTGTGTGTGTCTGTTTGCTGCTATGAAATAACCGTGATGAATGTGCATGTATTTTTATGGTGCATTTTAAAATGCTTTTAGGGTTTCCTCTTTCCTGTTATGTGTTATATAGGTTTTTGTGCAATTAAATGGTCTGCAAAGGCCACAATCCCTATGTTCAATCCAAAGGGAGTTTCTCTCCCACACCCACACCCCCCCCCCCCCCCTGCCTGAAACGCTTGGATTGGATTCCTTTGTTTACTTCAGTAACATAGTCACTTTGAAAATCTCGCGCTGCGATTGGCTTGGGTTCTACCACACTATGGCTAAGGGGCAGGACATCTAAGCGGTAGACCAATCACAAAAGAGCCGGCCGGCTAACCAATCAGAGCAGCAGACTGGGCTCTGGTTTCAGACAGAGGGTGAAAAAAGGTGCTGCAGCACAGGCAGTATGAGAAAATTAAAGAGCTGTTTGAACATTAAAGTATTGAGACATGTCACAGTACAGGGACAAAATACTAATATGAAAAATAAGCATAATATGTCCCCTTTTATACAATGACTCACAAGCCATTGACTTACAACGAGTATTTACTGAGTATACTGAAGCTCTGATACAGGTACAAAAGAAGTAAATAGTTTGCTTAAAACACTCTGCCAAGGTGACTCCTCTACATGACTGAATGCTCCTTCAGGAAATGCTCGGCTTGTAGGCAGAACCACCGACAAATGTATCACCTCTAATCGCTGCCTGTTTATACAGCTCCCTGACAGAAAGTCCTCCACAGGAGAGCACGTACTGCTTAAAGACGTTCAGCCTGAACATTATGAGTCACCACTGTGTCCTATAAAATGCTGATTAGCGCCTCATCGACTTATAACAATACTCAAGTGTGCAGCTAATAAAATGCTGCATTCAGTATTTAATAAACCGGGTCTTTTACCTGATATCCAAAACATGACTCGTCTGAATTAAAATGCGATAAGACATGCAAAGTCATGGTTTTAATATAATGCCAGTGTTAAATATGCATTAAAAAAAGGTTGAGAGTAACGTGATACCAATGCAGATAGTGCAGCCCTGTTGCTGACTTAACAGATTTCTATTTGAGCTCATTCATCGCCCAAGAGACCTGACCAACCACGCACACAAACACACACACACACACACACACACACTGTTTCCTCTAAGTACAATCAATGAAGTGACATGCGCAGGGCTGCCAGCACTAAAACATGATGGAGCACTGCATCACCGCACATATTAACATCCTCGCCCATCCCCCGCCCGCTGCCCTTGGACTGGATGAGACTGCAGCTAGGCCGAAAAACACACCAGCACACAGAGTGATAGCATTGTAAAAAATAAGAAGGAAATGTAAATAGACCAAGGAGCTGAAGGCGAGACAAAATACGACAATGTCAACAAACACTGTGTTACATAATTGTGTTAGGCACATCTGTGAGCCATCACATGATGTGCAATTTCAACAGCTGAGGCTCTGTGGAAAAAAACATCAGACTCAAAAAGGTGTGAACAGCTAGAATAAAACCAGGCGCTTCTTAAAGCTGCAGTGGTACGGATTTAAGGCTTTAATATAATTAAATAAAGCCTGCAGTAAAGCTAAATAACACATTCTCTATGGAAGAAGGGGTGTAGAAGAATACAGATGCTTCACGTATGAAAAATAGCACAACATAATAAAAGCTGTATTAAAAACTTTATTTCTTTATTTAGATGATGTTATCAGAATGGTATACAAGGCAACTAAACCCAAATATATAGACCAAAGCTTAATTCTAACATTAACACAGTTTTTTTATTAAAATGTAAATAATATTTGATCCTTTTTATTGTTATTTTTTTTATCTGATTCTAATAACGTTTTTGAATAAGAAACGTACTATATTTGATATTGTTTTATTGGTATTTTAAAAACAGATTTCTGTTATTTTCCATAATTTGTTTCTGGATCAGTAATCTAACTTAACAATTGTTTTACTATTGAGAGACATGCAGTATTTGTGGCTATTTGCCATTTGACCATCTTGTTCTCTTAAAAAAAAAAAGGCCAGTCATTTTGGACTATCTTGTAATCATTTTTACGTGTAATGTCAATTTATTATAATAATAAAAACAATTGCAAGTTAAAACCATTCACCTTAGATGAGGCCAGGTTCTCGCATTACTCAACTATTTGATCATTTTTCTAGACCTAATCCTTACTTAAGAGGTATTTTCCAATATGGCTGTTTTTAATGTTCAGTAACCCTCACCTGACTCGCAGACCACACTCCCTGGCTTCAGCTCCAGCATCATGGTGATGGTGGCGATGTCGGTGGTGTAGAGAATCTGTGTGCGGTGCGGCAGGTTGACGGTCCACAGCTCAGGTGTGGGGTGAAGCACGTACACCCAGCCACCTTTGCTGCAGGTGACCTTTGACCCGTACCGCTGACCGATCAGGTCTGTGGAGTGGCGAATGACCCCATAACGCGTCTGTGTTTGGGCGCCCCGTTTCACCTTCACTGGCGTCATGGATTCATGGCCCAGGTACACGATGGCGACGTCCCCATCCTGAATGCAATCCGAGTACTCCACAAAACTCATGGTGAGAACCGTACCTACAAAAGGGTAGGAGGAGAAAATGCTTTATTCAAAAGTCTACATGGAAAACTAGCATTGATCTGAATCAGACTCTCTTTATTCATCCCAACTGGGGAACTGGATTTCTAAACAGTTGCCCCATTTGAGAATAAAATATGATAAAATAAAATGAAATCTAAATATTTGTAAAGACAGAGATCATAAAGTAAAACATAGCAGGTTGAGCTGCAATATACTAGCAATATAGGGTAACATACATGCCTGGGAAACTTTGTTTTTGGATATAAAAAGTAAAGACCACAGTATTAATAACCCTACAGCAATATTTAAATAAATGTGAATTCTTAAGGTAAAAGAAATGTTACGTTTTTGTAGCTCAAATAAGGGTTCTTGATATTAACAGTTACTGTTATGACAGTACATAATGTATGTTATGTCACTGGAACAGATATATTGTACATGTTTTATATAGTATTTTCTACCTATGTTCTTGACTTAGACCGTAGGCTTTTTTACTTTCATTTTTTCTTACCATGTAATTCTTTTGCACTAAAATACTAATAAACTATACAGACATGATATTAGATATAAAAAAACTGTCTAATGTATTTCTGTTTTTCTTCAGTCAAATTCACTTTACATTAGTCAGTTCACAGTAATTGTTGTCATGGTAACAGCTGTTTGTATTGATTTTAAATAAAAGCATCACGTGCACTTACCGTTATTACTTTATTTAAAAGCTGCATATTTCAAACTGAAGAATAAAGTTTCTTTCATTTCAAAGTTACACTTCAGAGAGAGAAGCTGGGATTCACTTTTGACTGCTTCACGAAAGACAAGAAATGTCGAACAATATGGAGAAGATGTAAGTGAGATTAATTAATTAATATTCTTACAGTTCTAATGTTCCTTAGGGTTTGTGTTGAAAATGTTTTTTCCTTTAAATATTTTGTTCTGTAACATGGCTGTTTCGGGTAAATGTTTCGGGTTAAGTTGATTTAGATGCTTGTGTTTGGGTAAGTCAGTTAATTAGTTTGGGTTAGTTGGGGACTCGTTTTGCCTCAGTAAACCAAGGAGACATACTTTTGGGTTTGTAGCTTTTCTGTAACGTTAATTAAGCTAACCGTTAGCTAATTTAGCGATAGGTTATCCCAACGGACGCAAACGTTAGTGGTTATTTCAGTGTTAGGCACCTTAGCATTAAATGATTGGTTCCCATTTTAAAGCAGCTAAATACAGAACTTTAACTCCCATTTTTTAAAGAAATTAACACAGTTTCTAGCTTCAAGCATACAGCAGGGTCACAGTGCAGAATATCTGTAAGCACTCATTTACAGTGAACGACTTTTAAGTTAACAGAATTGTGGCTTTGACGTCAAACGTTGGTAACGCTAACAAGCTAGCATGCTAACGTTAGCTCACCTAACGGTTAACTTCGTTCAGAACCGTTGGCGGACCCTCAACGTACCTTCTTCAGAACCCACGGTCTCTGCAGTTTTAAACGAACACAACCGTTGCTCAGTAAACGGTAGGTTTTGCTCTTAACGTCTTTGAATGTGGATGTGGAAAGGCTGTCAGAAACCATTCATTCCCTGCACACACGTGGTGTTGTTTTCAGAGGAAGTCGATGAGACACAACCGGATGCTGCAATGACTTCACGGATTTGTAAATTCACTTTACAAAGTACATTAATGAAGAAGTCCAGATGATTTGTAAATCTACTTTTTACCTCCAGACACAGCACATTTTTTTTCTGCTAGGTACACACAAAGGTAAAAAAAAAAAAGAACGCTTGTTTACTAAAGGTGCCATTTGTAAATAATAATTAAATCATGTTCATGTTGTAGCGTGAAAAATAAACCACTATATAAGTATCTAAATATATCGAATATAAGTATCACACTGTAAAAAAACAAACAGGTAGCAAGTTAAGGTTTTTTATTTAGAATTGTATTTCAGTTAAATTACAGGATTATTGTTATGAACATGTACTCAACATTGAGCAACCAACGTTGTTCGGCTTTCTTAGTTATTATTGCTCTTAATTAATATAGAAACAATTAATTTATCTTCATCAAGTGTATTTATTTACCTATTTTATTTTGAGAAAAAAAATCCCTTTTTTAATTTGATTTGTCTGATACTGCTCAATCAACACATATTTAATATCATCTGTTTTATTTATTTGAATGTAAAATACATTTGTTTGTGAAATGTAACCTGTTACTATGGCTGTGAATGAGATCTAGATAAATAATCATGGCGGCTCTTGACGGAAGATTTCCTAGAGTTCCACGTACTTCTGGAGCATGGTGAAATAACAGGTGATTCGTTTTATATAAAATAAACGCTGGGTCAGAACAATTAATTTGCAAATTACACTTTATGGCACAACATAATACATTATGGGTTTAATCTGTGCATGCAAGAAGGATTTCCTACTTCACACAGAGAGCGCGTCCAATTAAATGAATGGACTACAAATACCCACCAATGGGAGGAGAGACGGTGTCCTATAAATGACCATCTGAAATCATCATTCTGAGCGGAGATCTGCTGGGACGCATACTGTTCGTTTGTGAGCTCCTCGTTTGGAACAATTGGGATCTTTGTCTCCACTGGTATTATTTCTAGTCCTCAAATTCGACAGCAGGTAGGCACTTTATTGAAATAAACGCGAAATTCCGTCACACAGGCGGATTATTGGAGATTTTAACCGATTAATTTATATCTGGGCGTTTGAGAGAGATTATCTCGGCCCAATGAATATGTCGTATTTTTACTGCAAGGATTTAATTAATCTGTTAGTCACTGTAATACAATAATATTACATTCTACGATGCAAAATATGTTTAATAGGGTTTGCGTGATGCACATTTCTGCACCTGCTAAAACGCCTTCAGGACACCGTGTTCACTGTAGGATATTTCATCGTCATTTGAGCTAAAAATGTAACATGAATGATAATCTCCGTACAAACTGTCGATGCTGACTGTGCACGCTCTACTTTCCGTTTCATTTCGCTGCTTTTCATCGTCTCTTCCCTCCATCCTCCGCCCAGGGAGCAACCATGCCTTTCGGTAACACGCACAACACGATGAAGATGAAATACGCTTCGGATCAGGAGTATCCTGACCTCAGCAAACACAACAATCATATGGCCAAGATCCTGACTCCTGCCATGTACGAGAATCTGAGGAGCAAAGAGACGCCCAGCGGATTTACTCTGGATGATGTCATTCAGACTGGGATTGATAACCCAGGTAAAAACCAAAGAGGCTTTTCGGCGAGAACAGCCATCTGTTCCGCCTCAGCGATCGCGTTTAATGGCCGCAGCGGCTCTGTGCTTACGCCTTTCTGTACTGTGACCTTGCCAAGGGGATACACTGTGACCAACATTTAGAAACATATGAAGGGCTGAAATATTCAGAAACCTTGTCATCATCCTCTAAATGGGCCACCATTATCACATTACGCAGTTTTATAGCAACCGTTAAAGATTAGCAGGGTTACATAATGTATGCAGTGCTGCTGATAATCCACTGCTGCTTTAACTGTTTTATGTCACCTACAGTTTGCAGTGTGTATTTAATTGTAACATCTGAAGTGTTTTTCAGAGTATTCAGATGACCCTGGTCAGTGTAGCAGGTGCCTCTGCTCACCTTTTTAGACTGTGCTTATGTTTAGTTGTGACAATATGGCCAAGCTGACGCTGAAGAGGCTTTCAGCTGAGGATGAGTATCCAGACCTCAGTCAGCATAACAACCACATGGCCAAGGTCTTAACCTTGGACATCTACAAGGAGCTGAGAGAGCGGGCTACACCCAACGGCTTCACCATAGATGGTGTCATTCAGACAGGAGTTGATAATCCTGGTACAGTAATGCAGTCCCATCCAGAGAGCACATTGAGGTAGTGAGGATGTTGGTCAGTGTGTCTTCCTGTCCTGTCTCCGTTGTGACCTTTTCACCTTGTGTGTAGGCCACCCCTTCATCATGACTGTGGGCTGCGTCGCCGGAGACGAGGAGACATACGAGGTCTTCAAGGAGCTGCTGGACCCCGTCATCGAGGACAGGCATGGAGGCTACAAACCCTCAGACAAGCACAAGACTGACATCAACCCAGATAACCTGAAGGTACCGCAGCCCTCTGCTCAGGTAAAATGGCCGACTGCAACACTGTGCAGAGAAGCTTACGTGTGTGTCCTCCTCAGGGCGGTGACGACCTTGACTCAGACTACGTCCTGAGCTCTCGCGTGCGAACAGGCCGCAGCGTCCGTGGCTTCTGCCTGCCACCCCACTGCAGCCGAGGAGAGAGGCGTGCTGTGGAGCAGCTCTCCATCGAGGGTAAGAGGACACGCAAACATGTTTTTGACTGTGCAGGAACTCTGCTCCTGTCCTGAGTCGCTGACAGATGGAGACAGGATGATTCTGTTGCATAAGCTGCATTAGGGTTGAGGCCTAAACCCGTGATGCTGACTGAAGTCAGATGATGCTGCTGGCCCTCATTTGTGTGGCAGGGGGTTCCCTCTAGTGGTAGCAGGAGGAATAACAGAATACAGTACATGACCGCTCCAAATGCGCACCATTAATGTTCGTTAATCTCCCCCTGTGCAGCTCTGGACTCTCTGAGTGGAGACCTGCAGGGGAAGTACTACGCCCTGAAGAACATGTCAGATGCTGAGCAGCAGCAGCTCATCGACGACCACTTCCTGTTTGACAAGCCAGTGTCTCCTCTGCTGCTGGCCTCCGGAATGGGCCGTGACTGGCCCGACGCCAGGGGCATCTGGTGAGACCTCAACATATTCTTGTCTCACAACCTTGTGTTTTTAGTTTGCTGAAATCTAATTTAAGATCAAAACTAAAGAATGTTAATGTTTTGTTTTTTTCAGGCACAACGACAACAAGACCTTCCTTGTGTGGGTGAATGAGGAGGACCATCTGCGTGTTATCTCCATGCAGAAAGGTGGCAACATGAAGGAAGTGTTCAACCGCTTCTGCACCGGACTCACCAAGGTTGGCAGGAAATGCAAAGTTTATCTGTAGCGGAAGTCTGTTTGTGTAAATGGTTCTGTATGTGATACAGCCTTGATCTTTAAAAAGACCTAATCATCCTGGTTCTTGTGTTCAGATTGAGACCCTGTTCAAGGAGAGGAAACATGAATTCATGTGGAACGAGCACCTGGGCTACGTCCTCACCTGCCCATCCAACCTGGGCACCGGTCTGCGTGCCGGTGTGCACGTGAAGCTGCCCAACTTGAGCAAAAATGCCAAGTTTGAGGATGTTCTCAAGAAGCTGAGGCTCCAGAAGCGTGGAACCGGTTTGTACATCTTTCATATTTGTTCAATGGTGTCTCAACTCAAAATCTATATTTTTCAAAGTGTTAGAAACGCATCTCCTGCTAAAGTGTAGTCTGCGTGTCATATTGACTGACATTCAGCCCACTTCTCGGCATCGTTGTAGTCTTTGGATCAGCTCGGGTAATGACATGTATTCTCTTGCCCCTCAGGTGGCGTGGACACAGCCGCTGTGGGCGGAGTGTTCGACATCTCCAACGCCGACAGGCTGGGCTTCTCCGAGGTGGAGCTGGTGCAGATGGTGGTGGATGGCGTCAGGCTGATGGTTGAGATGGAGAAGAAGCTGGAGAAGGGCCAGTCCATCGACGACATCATGCCCGCCCAGAAGTAAAAACATCCTGACGCACATAAAGCTCACACGGCCCTCCCCCTCCTGAATGATTGACTCTGTCCCTGAATGCATTCTGTATCACAGTTTGGATTTTGTTTGTGTATTTAAGATGAAACCTGTGAGTATGGCAATGAAATAAAAAAATGTTCTGGTTCAAATTCTTGTGATTCCTGCACCGAGATTTCTTATGTTGTGTAAACATTATCCGTGTTCCACAAATTTCAATGTGTAAATATTCTCAGTTTCATGATGACTTCAGATATAACATCAAGTGTTCACTACTTCGCTTTAAACTTTAGCTGCCCTCGTCTCCCAGATTCATCGAAACCCGGGTGGGAAATCAGCGCCTGGCAGATTAACATTTAAAAAAAAAAAAAAATCTTACCATGAGCTGGACCTACAATAACATCAGGCCATGAAAGCATAACATCTTGAACTGTCAACTAAAATATGTCTTGATCAGAACTGACTAAACTTTTACAAGGAATTATGCAAAAGTCTAATTTCATCTATACCTGAGACATTTAAAGCAGCTTCAAAGATGCATTTACTTTGCCATGTCTGCCTGTTCAGGAGGCTTAATGTGTTAAAAGGTTGCATTATGGGAAGTGTAGGCTCCAGTGTTGAACTAACTCATATCAGCGAAGTAATGACATGAGCCAGAAAAAGGTGCGAGGTGGACACAGGCTCTGAAAGATGTATTTGCTGCAGTAAGGTTTTTAAATTGTTATCGATTTCCCAACTTTATGCAAGCACAATTATACATACCTAGAGTTTGTCTTTATTCTGCAGTCCATACCCAAATCAAGAATCAGCTGTTAAACCTGAACTCGGCAGCAGTTACTTTCATTCAGAGAAAGTGGAGGATGGTGTTTGTAGTCTAACAGACACAAATCATGGTTTTTTTCACCCAAAAGACAAGTATATATTGTTTAAGTAACCATATCTCCAGAATGTTTTTCTCTTAATGCACAATATTTAAAGGGAAGTGATGGTGCTGGGATTTCTTTTTTATTTATCTCTACTCCTGAAACACATTTACAATCTATATTAAGGCAGAAAACAGCTCTAAAGCAAGATCATTATTCCTTATCTGTGAAATAATAAAAAACAGCAAGAATCAACTTGAAACTAATAAATATTCAACATAAATATATAAACAAATACTTTTTTTTTCTCCATTATTTATATTTTCACATTTATTTGATTTACTGGTGTATTTATTTTAATTTTATATTCAAATATTTGTATGGCCTCTTATTGATAAGCACATGTACGCACAATTACTGATTTAAATGTATTAGATGACATTTCAATATTTAACTAAAAATATACATTTAAATCCGTCTAATACATAAAAGCTGTCTTCCATTGCTACAAATTTAAAGAGGGAACAAAAAGGTTAGAAATGTGCCAAAAACCTTAATTTGGTCATGTATTGTTGTCCACTTTAAAGACAATGAGTTTAGTATTAATTTGATCTACATAATTTGATGAAAGGATGGTGTTTGTAGTCTTAACACAAATCATGGTTTTTTTCACCCAAAAGACACTATTACAAAAAATAAATAAGTACATATTGTTTGGTAAACAACTAGTGTTTAAGTAACCATATTTCAAGAATGTTTTTCCTCTTAATGCACAAAACCATATTTATTAAGGGCTTTTTATTTTTTAAACCTTTCCTTTGATAAATAACTAAAATGTGTGTTTCTGAAATGAAGCTCCACACAGAAGCAGCAGAATTGAAGGAAACACGTTTTTATATTTTCATGGTGTCAGGATACAAATGATCAGCGGGAGACGTTCAAGTTGACAGACACTTTTAATTGAGACATGAGTGACCCTAAACCACGTGAGCATTTACACGGACTTACCCCATCTCTACTTTTTGAACGAAATACAAAAGAAAAACAAAATGAGTATTGCAGTGAAGCCGTCTTGAAAGAAAAGATACATTATTTACACTGAAAACAAAAAAAACAACGCTACGTAATTTTTTTCTTATTTTTATCCAGGAAAAAAAAACAAAAAAGATGAAATAAATAAAGACTAGAAATGTTTTCTTTTTTTGTCCACATTCACAGCATGACAAATCATATTCAACTCGTTAATGTTGACCCGGTGTGGCCAGAGTAGACTGAGATATTAGTATCAGTGATTATTGCCAAAAGCCTTAATCTATACATTATAATATTCAATACATACTCTGTATTTTGTTTTTAAAAAAGGAGACATTTGGAAACTGCTACTTGGATGATTGTACAGCTTAAATACTTCTAGATATATATATGTATACTTTTTTTAAACCCTTTTGTTCATAGCTTTAACTCGTTGGACACTTTGGAAGCAATGTTTTTGAAAGCGATGGATGATCCGGATATCCGTTTGAAGCGCACGCCGTTGAGCGAGAGTCTGGGCAGCTTGCAGACCTCCATCTCCCACTGCACCAGGTTCTCTGCGTGCCCGTCCCCGTGCACGCACAGAAGCAGGAAATTCTCTTGCTGTTCGAAGTCGCAGTTGTTGGCGTCGAGCACCTTGCGAATCTCCCGCATGATCTCACAAGGCTCCATGGAGCTGGTGGTCCTCATACTCCAAGTGAATCTGAGGGAGCGGGGTTTACTGTCTTTATTTTCCCCTTTTTGATCCCCAGGTACATGGCGACTGTTGGGAGAAAGAAACACAAAAGGGTGTTTTAGTGTTGGCAGGTTTGATTCCCCGCTTTAGGACGGTGTATTAGGGCTATTGTTGGGTATTATTACGAGAAGGACTTCATTAATAAAAAGCACATTTCTATTACTAAAAATGAGAAGAAAAAACTTGGATATTCTGAGATTAGTCAGAAAAAAAAAAAAAGTGATATTCTTTTACAATAAAGTGGAACATAAAAAAACCTTATACATTATCGGAAAATTGCTTGAATATTCTGTCATCTTTAAGCGACGCAGCTCACGATGCTCTGAGTTTCTTCTTGTAAACCTTTTACTTATACCTAAGAGAATTGAATAGGTCTTTCTTGCAATTGCATGATTTAAACTCAGAATTCTCAAGTTTTTTCTTTTAAAAATGTGCACGTTTTTATATTGCAAATGACCGTCTTAGAAAACCCCAGATTCATTCATTCAAATTCAAAATGTTTTTTGGTTTGAATATGTGAGAGTTTATTCTCTTGTAAATTTAAATCATGGGACAGTTACTTCCCAGAATGTAACCCCCCTCGTCTGGCTGTTAATGTGTATCGTTTTTAACCTACAATGGACCTAATAAACGTTTACATAGCATGCAGTGAGCACCAGTCAGAGCAGCTGGTCAAATAAGGAACAGTTTGATCTTTTGAGAGAATTCACAGAGAGTTAGATGAGAAGATACCGCTCTCCAGTCCCCACAATATATATGAAGCTAAAGCAGCTAGCAGTCAGTTAGCTTAGCACAAAGAATGGAAGCAGAGGGAAACTGCTAGCATGTCTCCTCCCAATGTTAACAGAAATGAAGCTACACATTTACTATAAATAAATGTTATATCTAGTGTGTGAGAATGATATTGGCTTAGCTTCTCATCTTACTCCCAGCTTGAAAGCAAATTATTTCCCAACATGTGTTTGTAAACTGGTGTTAGACACACCCATGCTGTGCATTTAACACGTTCATTATGCAAGAGGGGGTATTTGAAGCATTTCTCAGGTAAACAAGAACACAAATGCCATGCTAACAAAGCACAGAACCATGCAAACATAAAAAACAAGCTAAATGCAACACACAGGTTTTCAGACAAAGCAGAGAGGGGTTCCTGCGCAGAGGGACGAGCAACTAAGAGTTTAAAGATGGCCGACACATTTCAATGTTTCCTCACCTTGAGCCCTCAAGTCTCCCGTTTCTCTCAAACTCGGTTGAGACTCTGAGGAGCACGAGAAGATCGGACAGGGAGGAAAAAAGAAGAACAAAGATGTGGATTGTGCACGACAAGAAAATTCATACCAACAAAAAAAAAAAGAATATGTGACGTTTATATAAGGAGTGACACAACAGGAGCCACACCGAGAAAACAAACATCACAAAAATATGATTTGACTTCCAGTGAAGAAGCATGACAAAAATAAAAACAGTGATACATGTTCAGATTGTGATTTAAAACTTAAAAAAAAGAAATTTAAATACAGAAATGATCAGGTTTTGCATCCAAAACAGAAAAGTAACATTGAGTACAGCAGACAGTTGGGATCAGGTGGGATCTAAATACAATATTTAAAGGGAAGTGATGGTGCTGGGATTTCTCTTAGATGTTTTGTTTATTGATCTGTACTCCTGAAACACATATTTACAAACTATATTAAGGCAGAAAACAGCTAAAGCAAGATCATTATTCCTTATCCGTGAAAGAATGAAAAAAACTGCAAGAATCAACTTGTAACTAAATAAATGTCCAACAGAAATATATAAACAAATACTTTTTTTTTCTCCATTATTTATATTTTCACATTTATTTTATTAACTGGTGTATTTATTTTAATTTTATATTTTCAGATTCAAATATTTGTATGGCCCCTTATTGATAAGCACATGTACGCACAATTACTGATTTAAATGTATTAGATGACATTTCAATATTTAACTAAAAATATACATTTAAATCCGTCTAATACATAAAAGCTGTCTTCCATTGCTACAAATTTAAAGAGGGAACAAAAAGGTTAGAAATGTGCCAAAAACCTTAATTTGGTCATGTATTGTTGAGTTTAGTATTAATGTGATCTACATAATTTGATGAAAGCCAGTTTTTAAAAAAGGGAATAATATTGAATTATCAGCCCGTTCCTTTTTAGCAATAATTAATATTGGATTGTTTTTTTTCAATGCCGGTCGTCTAACTCGAGGAAGATGGGATCTTGTTTCTGACTATCTGACTTTGCTCTCTCGTCCCTTGTAAAGAATCTATCTTGACGTTATAATATCCTCAGGGAGTCCACAAAGAAAACTAGGACACATCTTTTCTAGGTTGATGCAGAAAAAAAGTCTACAGAGAGAAACTCGCAGACCTAAAAGTAAAACCAAATGTTCCCCGAAAACATTCAGCAGAAGATCATCGGGATTTCATCATATTTAATACATTTTACTTTGACCTTATTCCAAATCTAAATATCCTATACTGCCGGGCTGCAGCTCACCGATATTAGGTCAGAAATAGTGCAAACATGTCCAGCGGGATGTCTTTACATGTCTTCTTTTGTCAGTCCAAAACTAAAAGACTTTCCTTTAATGGACATAAAACAGAGAAAGGGGAAACATCTCCAGATATAAGAGGCTGAGTTTTCTGCCATCTCTTATATATGTGTCTTAAAAAGATGTGTGTCAAGCTATCACATTTATGAGGGCTGGGAAATATATTGATCAAAGTCTTTATTTGACACTAGATATCACACAAATGTCTTTTTCTGGTTTTAAAGGCTGCATTACAGTTCACGGATGTAATTTTCTGTACTGTTCTAGATACTACATTTTTACTTTACCCACTTATTAATTATAACCACAAAACTAATGATAATCCACCAAAAATGTCATTGTTTTAGTCATTTCTGAAAGCACCAATAATCAACCCAATATCACCACAATACAGGTGTTTGATCAAAAACAACTTTATATTAGATTGAACCCAGCCCTATATCAAATCATATTCTATTTATATAGCCGAATATCACAAAGTACAAATGTCTCTCAGTGGGCTTTACAATCTCTACAGCATATATGACCCTTGGTCCTTAGTTTGTTGCAGATTGAACAGAAACAGGACGTCTGAGTCAAATCACCAAAGATTACATTATAAAAGCTAAATAAGCAGAAAAGGCTCCTCTCACAGGACAGGGTTAACAGGCTCCCAGCATGCATTGCAGTCTGGAGAACAGAGAAAAATCAAAACAGGACGGAGAGGAGGAAGAGGAGGAGGAGGAGGAAGTGACTCCATGCTCCCCGACAGCTCGAGAGACAACGAGGAGACAAACGGACAGACGAGGACCGACAGAAATAAGTCCTGCATCGCTCAGAGAGACCGAGGGGTGAGAGAGGGGGGGTGAGAGGGGGGGTGAGGGAGAGGGTGAGGAAAGCCTCCACATAACTCAAGACTCGAGAGATTGAGGGATTGAAAAACAGCCCCTTACTCTAGATCTTCATCTTCCTACAACTCTCTATATCTTCCGCTCCTGAATCTGAAAAGAAAAAATGGGAATCTGAAAAAAAATTCCTCAATGGTCACATGACAATAAAAAAAAATTCAAAAAAAAGAGAGAGGGAAAGAATATTAAAATGGAAATGGACGTGGGCGTAAAAAAAGATGGAGGAGGATGAGACGGCAGGAAGGACAGGCTGCAGGAGAGACTTACTAAGGGGTTTTCCTCCCGGGGTGGGGGGGGCAGCCGGACCTGATTTGGCCGCCTGCCGTTTGGCCGGGTCAATACTGACCCTGAGAGGAAGAGCAGCAAGAGGTCAAAGGTTAAAGGACAAGGAAGGTTAGGAGGACACGAAACACACACTGTGAGGAAGAGGAACAGGAGGAGGAAGAGGAGGAGGAGGAAGAGGGAGGTGACTGAATCTAACAATGTCCTGAGGAAGAGGAACATGATAAAACTCGCCCGCTAAAATCCCAAAATGTTCAAATGGAAGGCGACAAAATTAAGTAACATGTTACGAGAAAAGTCAAAAATACAACCGATATATAAATATATAATGTTATTGTTTTACACAATTAAAATTTGAGTGCAAAAGTAAAAGCTTCCTAAATGTTCATTATAAGAAGCAAAAAGTCCTTAACCAAGACTATGAAATAGACATTTTTTTTATTATGTTATTATATACGTATTATTTTTATCGACTAAACTACTATCCAATAATAAAATGTGTCCGAAAATAGTAAGAAAAATATCCGTCCGAGTTTCTTAACTTTCAAGCTGGTGCATTTTAATCCCCCAAATCTATTGAGTTTATGATAAGTGAAATTAAAAATAAAACTCATAAAAGCAAGGAATGTTCACACCCTAGATGTTTCAAACTAAATGTTGTATGAATATTACTTCAAACTATTGATTATCAATAGTTATCGGCCCTTTAAGTTTTATAACCTACTTTATTTAAACATGAAGCCTCTGGACCAATCACTGCTCTGGACTCACTCGTTTCATTATATTACAACTAGATGTTGTTGTTTTTTAGTTTGGTTTAAAAGGAGACAAATAAAAAAAAATTCAGATTTAACATTTAAAAAATAATAATAATTAAGAAAATAATCAATAAATAAATCATTAATTAAAAACAGCTGATAGTTGCAGCGTCGATGGCTGAGATTTGTAATTGTTAAACTAACAATATCACCTCTTGATGCATCTAGTTATATTCTTGACTGATCTGAAAACACTTTAATAGATTTTGTCACAACCGAAAATGAAGACAAACACAAAAAAACATAAAAAAGGTGAAAAGAGTGAGATGGGAGGATGGTGATGATGAAGACGATGCCAGAGGAAGAAGACAGTTCACCAATCCGCCACCAGAGGGCGCCATGAGCCTCCGGACGGTGGCCTGCGAGGGCCAAAAACCCTCTGCTGCCCCTCAGAGGCCACAGCTCATACTGCTATATCATAAAGACGACTATAAGAGCCTGGATCTGGTATCTATTCAATAAATGTGCTTTAAAAAACGATAGTATATAAAACTTATTTGGCTCGTTAGGTTTTATTTGAAATGTCATGACATTAGTGGGAAACATGTTGTAAAATGTACCCGGGAAACAACAAGGTTTAATGTGATAAACCTTTCAAATGATTAATGATGCACTTCTAACCATGAGAGAGAGGGTTGAAGAGGAAGTAGATTTAATGGGATTTAGTACGTTTTCATACAATATATGTACTTATTGTTGAGTCAGATAGTACTCAACCTAGAGACAATATTAAGTAAGTAATCAGGGACAAAAACGGGGATAAAAGGAAGCCTTAGTGTAAATGAGAGATTCATATACTTCTGAATAATGCTGGCTAACAACGAGCCACTAAATGCATTAAAGACATTCCTGCCACTATCTTTCAACATATTTTAGATCAAACTATTCAGCGACATTAAAGAAAATATATCATATATTAATTGAATCATTCAACTCGGTGCTGAAGCCTTGTATCAACTTGAAACAAAATAATGTATTTATAATACAAATGTGTGTTTTGAATGAACTTGTCAGTGTTGTCCTTAGATGATAAAGCGATGGAGGAGATTTGAGTATACTGTGTGTTAAAAGAAAACAGTATCCACATCTTCAGCCATTAATGAGTGAAAATGTAAGTTTGAATTTGTTAAAAACTATTCTCAAAGCTGATAATGATAACTTTTATTTACAGTCCTTTATGATTTCTGTTAAATGCCCTATTGCAGATTTTTTTTTTAAAAAGACAGATGGATATTGTTGAGTACATTCAGTATTCATGCTGATTTACAGCTTACATAAACGGATTCTTGGATTTTAATCGAAGAAATCTGCCCCTGCCCCCACCCCGCCAGATGCCCGGACTGAAGCTGACATGGTTTTCAACTTAAAAATGGTTCTTATAGTGATCACCAAAGCACATCAATCCAGTTCAGGAACATCAGATGTTGCCCAAGAACTCACATTAAATGAAAGAAGATATTTTCCTTTGGTTGTTTTAACCATGGCAGTCTACACAAATGTGGTGTTCGCAAAAAAGAAAAATACCCAAATTGAAGCTCTTTATGAAGTTGCAACTGGATCAAATCCACCTGACAAAATCACATCTGAGTCAGTGAGACTTTAACACATAAAAAAGAAACATTTCTTTGAAGGTGAATAAATGCAGCAGTAAGGTGTTCAAGGCTTCGTTTAAAGTGTGCAGTTTCATCAGCAGAGAGAGTTAGGTCGATAACAACAATCAATGTGGTGAGAAAAACAAACCACAAGTCAACAGTAGCTGTAAAGCCCCCCCCCCTCCCTCTCATGCATGCATCAGCAATCGATTAGTGGCAAGATGCTGCGTTGTTGCTGTGGGTAAAATCGACCAATCAGAGGCCAACCACAGCAGCACTGGGTACATTTACACACACACACACACACACCAATTCAAACCAGATTAAAGCTGAACTAAGAAAAACATCTTTGCTGGATCTTAACGGGTAAAGAAGGAATTGCTTAGACGTTTTGGAAAATACCCTGATTCAATATCTTCCCGAGGGAAAGATAAGAATACCACTCTCATAATTCAGTGGATATGATGAAGATACAGCTAGCAGCTAGTTAGCTTAGCATAAAGACTGGAAGCAGAGGGAAACTGCTAGCCTGGCTCTATACAAATGTACGAAATCAAATGTGTCTGAAGCTCACTTATAGTTATAACCTCTAACTAGTTTGTGGTGGTATTAAACTGTATGTCGTTATAGAGAGGTGTTTCTTATATTATGCCTATACTCATTTATATAAAAAGGGGTAGACAAAATAATGATCAATACAAAGTTTTAGTTCACTTAATAACCGACCTAAATAACAAAAAAGAAATCTGAAGAATTGCCTTTATCTGTAGTCGCAAACATGGTTACGTCATACAATCATTGACAGATTGACAGATTTATTCTTAGTGTTTGTTTATGAAATTGAAAATGACTATAGAGTTGAAACAACAACCTTCATTATGTTGTATTAAACTGTGAGCTTTGGGAATGTGTAAATTGGTGCACTTTAGAGGCGTTTCATTTTATTAGCTTGGGACAGACAGGCTAGTAGTTTCCCTCTGCTTCCAGTCTTCATGCTAAGCTAAGCTAACCAACGTTAATAAGTATTCGAGCTCTCGGCAAGGGAGCGAATAAGCGTATTAGCCAAAATATTCCTTTAACAAAAAATATTGACAAATGTAACCTATTGAGTGGCGAAGTCCCTCCCCTTCCGGGGGACCTCCATGGGACCTTATTTCGGAAAAATCATGTATTGAAGTCAATGGAGAGTCTTATATTTCAATAGATCACTTTTTGATCCATTTTGAATTGTGCAAACAATAACACATATGATGTTTTGTCAATTTTAAAAGATAATTTTGCAAGTAAAAAAAATAAGAATGTGTCATAAAACTGTGAAGTAACAGATTTGTTTGTGTGAAGCGCTCAATGAACTACAACTCTGGTCTTGCATACGTCACCAACACCAAGATGGCCGTCACGTTAGCACAATTCACCTCTTTCTTTCAGAATGAAGTGAAACGTATTAAAAGAGGTGAAAATCACTACAAGTCCGGGCATGTTGAGAACTGTACATACACAAAAGGGAAGTTAGTCGGTTCCGTAAGAGCCAGCATGCGGGACCGGCTTTACAAGGTTTCGGTGAGTAACACGAGTGTAATGTGTAACGTTAATGTAACTTACTCTGGGATTTGTAGTCTTTCTAGTTGTGTATTTTTCATAGTCTTATATTTCAACAGTTTTAAGACAAACTGTGACTTTTGGAAATGATTTTTTAAGATTGACAAACATCATATCTGTAATTCATGGCACAATTCAAACGGGATCGAAAGATACGTTTTCTCTCTCCATTGACTTCAATACATAATTGTTCAGAAATAAGGTCCCATGGGGCGGAAGTAGATGGGCGTGACTTCGCCACTCTATTGTAATATGACTGGAAACTTTATTTTAATCACATTAGCTGACTATAAAATGTGTGTAAATGTACCCAGAGAGAGTTTTGTTTCCTGCCAAGCGGTGTGTTAGTTGAGTGCCAGCAGCCTCACACGTCTGCAGAGTTTCATAGAATTTCCAGTGCGTTTGTTATTTGGCACAGAGCGGAAAGAAAGGCAGTACAAGAGTCCTACCTTTTGGTAAATCTGAATGACATGTTTCTACAACAGAATCAGACAAAGAAACAGTGAAAATGGTGAAAGGAGGAGTGAGAGGAGGGAGAGGGGGTGAGGATCTGAATGAGGGAACAACAATGGGGTGCTTGGAATCATCAACAGTGGAAACATTATTATTTTATTTGTATTAATGATCAAATGATTTCAATTCCTCATTTTTGTTCGGTCATTGCAGGAGTCGCTGGCCTGGCTGCCACTTTCAGAGCCTTTTAATGCAGGTTTTGTATTGTTCTCATTGTTTGCTGATCATTTTTCTTCTTTCTGAGCAATTTTTTGGGATTAAAAATGCCAGAAAATGAAGTAGATATTCCAAAAAAAAAAAGTCCTACGGCCAATAGTGGAAGAAGTATTCAGTAGAGCTGCATTTATCAATTATTTGTATTATGGATTTCTCTATTTTTCTTGAAATAAATAAAAAAATTGCTGTAAAATGTGTTTAAAAATGTCCCTCCGCAGTTTTCCACGTTTCCAAGTTAATGTAAAACATTTTTAAATGGCAGGATTAATTATGAAAATACTTTAAATGGTAGCAATTATTATTGTGGTGATCGACATATCGTTACAAGTCTATCAGATCCCTAAATTAGATCAAATTAATTATACTGCTGGCTTCAAAATATACTTATTTAATTACAAGTTATGCAGAATGACCCATGTTAGAATACTACAAATATAATGGGTTTATAATTATTTAAGCATGAATGTGTTCTTTTCTTTAATGTAATAATAACAACGTTATATACTGCTGATTAGTTTAGTCTGTAATATAATGATATTTATTTTAATATTTCTTAATAATAAAAATGATCTGAAATGCTACTTAAGCCATTCAATAACGTAGAGGAGGCGAGTCTTTCCCTCTGAGATGTAGGAGCGTAGAAGTGTAAGGTAGCATACATTGAAAAAAGTGAAGTAAATGTTCGTAGTTATTTTCCCCCGCTGACACGTGACCAAAGTAAAGGTTTAAATGTTTGGTTCAACCCACGCTCCAACACCTCCAGGTATTCAATTTATAAGAAATCTGCCAATATTCACATTTAAGAGGCTGGTTTATTTCCTTTTTGGCTGACTCATTTCTTTAGTTATTCATTAAAAGTTATTTTTACAAGTTCCGGTTTGCTTGTGAAAGAATGGTGTGAAAAAAAGTCCAGATTTAGACCGAACGACACCAACTCGAGGTGTTATTTCTGAGAATATTCACGCCATGAAAAGATCTCTTCATGATTGTTAGGCAAGAAAAAGAATCAGCAAACGTTTCTAATGAATTACAATTCCAGACTCATAGCTGTAATTGTTCAAATATCACAGATTCAGGTCAAATTGAGGCTCGTTCAGAGTGGTTTCATGCCTCTGTGGCGGGCGTTCAGGCAGCGACGGATAAACAACATAGACTTGAGAATAAATCACATCGTACAGGACAGTGAAGGGATCCCAAAGCATGTAATCAATCATCCTAACGCTACAAGGCACTGTTTGATGATTGGCTTTTGAAAAGACAGTCACAGGAGAATAAGCAGAGGGCTGGAGTCTATCTTCTTTCTGTTTCAGGATTTAAATCAATTGAATATTTGTTTAAATGTCCGTAAACTATGTTATTAAATGTACATTTTAAAGTGAACAGAAAGAGCTAAACCCCAACCCTTAGTGCTTCGGAGACATGAGGTGTTTTTCTTCTCGCCTACCTATTGGCTTTTATTTTGAAAAGACAAGAGTCACAGGATAATAAGCAGAGGGCTTTCCATTTCAGGATTTGAATTCATTAAATATGATGGAAAATGCCCATACATTCATTTTAAAGTGAACAGAAAGCGCTAAACTCTAACCCTTTGGTGCTTGCGTGTCGAGGTGTGTTTTTTTTTTCTTGCTTACCTGCGGGTGAGTTTGGAGGTGAGTTTGGAAAACAGGTTGCTGGTTCCACGGCTGCGGGTCTGAGAGAGTGGGGTGGCGTCGTGGGAGAGTGTGGGCGAGGCGGGGGGGCCGTTGTATGTGGCCGTGCGGCGGTCTCTCAGCTGGCCGCCGTGGAAGGTGCTCCGGCTGGCCGTCCCTCGAGGGAAGCGCAGGCGGTCGGGGGTGGAGGCGTTGGCGATGCTGTTGATCGACGCCACCGGGTTCTTCTGGTCGCCGGGGGAGGCTGCATCACTGCTGGGGGGGAGAGAGTTAGTGTGAGAGTTTAAATAATAAAACAGCTTTTGCACTGCAGACGGGTTCCTCGCTGTATTGGTAGGTGATATTAGTCTTTTAGTCATTAAAGGGTACAGTAGGTGTGAAGGAGATGACACATTTTATAGAGGATTCTACTAGGGTGTATTAGGGCTATTGGTGGTTAAACATTTTAAATAAAAAGGGGCTGGGGAATTGTGATAGTATTAGGAGAGAAAAATCGGAATTTGTGAATTTAAAGTCATACATTTAGTAGAGAAAATCCGTGATATTTTCGGATAAAAGAGCAGTAAATGTATACGGAAAAAAACGTAGCTTCCCTTCATGTCCAAAGTCAAAGTGTTAAACAGGGAATGCGACACTCACATGTGAGTGTGCAACAGTCTGAAACATGGAGATCTGCTTCATTTGATAACAGTGTTTTAGTTCCTGATGCACAAAAACTCATCCAAATTAGTTTGTTGTTTTCTTCTGTAAAAGCCCATTTCATAAAAGTCTTGTACTCATAATGTGCTGAATCTAAGCAAGAAGCCGTGTCTTCTTGCTTAGTGGAGGAGGATGAAGACGGAGTACTTCCTTATTGCTAAATCTGTGTGAAAAGTGTAATTGAATTCAGCTATCTACTGCAGGCATAATTCACAGTAATCATCAGTTTTTACTCAGAATAATTACACTTTTATTAACCTCTTTCCCCAATTCTTTAATTAAAAAAAAAATTAAAAAGGCTGAAATGTGTAGTGGTGCATTTGAAATATCTTCTGCTAAATTTCCCTCCCAAAAAAAGTGACAGTAAAAACCAAAGGTTGCTTCATAGTTTGAATCATAATCATACTACTGCTGCAACGGAAAAACCCTTATTCTTACATCGCATTTTCATATTATATTACATTTCTTATCATAACAAGCGGTGTAGAGTTTGTGGATTTCTAGAAATGCCATGGCTTTGAAGTGAATGATTCTTGCATGTTAGAGGTCAACAGGGTAGGAAATTAAATACAAATGCAAATCATCCAATCACATGGTGGATTGAGCAGAAAAGTTACTACGTGAAACTGTTCACAACAGTTGAGTCAAGATTTCTGGAAAGAGTATGTTATGCAGTTTTGCGAAACACAAACAAAGTGCCATCTAGTTCTGTAATATTGGAGAGAAAGCTTCATCTCTACGGCTGATGATGCCAACATCCTGCAAGTTGTACTACAGGAAAGTGAACACAAATATGTAGGGATGTAACGATACCAAAAACTCAAGGTACTATAATATCGCGATAAAAAGTCCACGGTACGATATTTATCGCGATATTGAAAAATAAAGGGAATTTTTTTTATATTTTTTAATTAAATAATAAATCTGATTTGTACAGTATTTTAGTAGGATAGTAGTATTTTAAAGTGTCAACAATATAATAATCAGACCCTGCAATAGAATAAATCAAGTTTCACTTTAGTTTTTCAAGTAACTCAACTCTAACTCACTAACTCACTCACTCAGCACCATCAAGGTTATCTTTTAGGAATATGAGCATGTCCACATTTCCAGGTAGAAGCTGGGATGTTTGGGCGTTTACAATATCCCCTGCTGTGGAAAAAACTCTCTTGCTTGGTACTGATGTTGCTGGGACAGAGAGATATGCTTTGGCCATGGGTGACAGCAGTGGGTCAAACTGTGCATTGTCTCTCCACCACTTCAAAAACAATACCGTTGTTGCCAAGAAGGTGAGGCTTATTGACAGGGTGAGATAGAAATATACTGTTGGTACTTGTCAATGTCTCTAGGTATGTACATGTAGCCCTGTAAATACGATGTCATAAGTGTTATCTGTTGTTTTATGTTCATGTTGTAACCTACTTGCTGCCATGTTGGACTGGTCTCCCTTGAAAAAGAGATCGATGATCTCAATGGGACCATCTGGTTGAATAAAGTTTCGACGTTGTTTGAGACATTTATTTACCGCGATATTTGCGATATTATCGTTACATCCCTACATAATATGGCATTTCAGATTTTGGGGGCCTATGTTTCTTTTGAATAATATTAAAAATGGGAGGGATTCGCGTACTACATTCACCAGCCAAAGAAACATTTAAGGGAAAAGAAAAGGCGGTAGAAGTAGTGGATTTGAGGATTTAATTTCCCACCCTGCACGTGAACACAGTGAGAAGAGTGAGTGGTAGTCCCTGATCAGTATAGAGACTAAACCAGAAACAGAACGCATGTGGGGAGTGGGCCGGTGGGCCGGGGAGGGCTCATCGTGTCGGACCCAAACAGGTGGAGGAGGATCCAGGAAGAGGAGAAGATCGCAGGGGTCAGGAGTCACGGCAGAGAATGAGAGGAGAGATCGTGAGGCAGAGCTTGCGAGATTCTGGTTACAAATGTCTGCAGCGAGACTCCTCCAGTCTTGTGGTTGGCAGAGAGAGAGGTGATGCAAGAACGTAGAAATATCATCAGTATCACACAACACAGAGTTTTAGTGAGCCCGTTCATCAAAGCGTGGCAGCTGATTTCAGTGGTGATGGATTCATGATTCTTCTTTCTACATTGCTGCCTCCACTTTAACAGTGTTCTGAAATCAAACAGCCAACATGTTTACACGCAGGGTGAGAGGTTTGCTCTAGGTGGATCCTTTACTAAAGTTAATCTGCTACAGTAAATAGATGCTGTTATGTCATTTATACAGTTGTTTGCTTGAATGTTTCTCGCGATTGGTTTAGTATCCGCCTCTAATTTTGACTTTGGTGATTGCGCTATCCCTAGTTAATTTTTGCTTCAATCATTTGCTGAAGGAGAGCCCAACATTAAATCATGAAGCCAATCTGCTGAAACTACACCATCATTTCATTCTGCAACTACATTTCTGAGTGCCAATGACACCTCAGGGCCGTATAGCTAATATATAGAGATAATGATTCACAGGGGTGTTTTTTTTTTACGCCTGTTAGGTTCTAGACTCTTCTGCAGCTGTTTCGAACAAAGGAAATCTTTCACAAGCCTCATTAAAGAGAGAAGGTTGAAAACGAGGACTAACGTACACAACAACGCACGACGAATCTTTTACCAACTGGTTTTAAGAGAAATACGTCGGCCTAGCAGGTGTAGTTTGCGTTTGGAGAGAAGAGAATGCTGCCACGCAAGGTCAAGTAGTTTGTTGGTGAACAGTTGCCGAGTTTGTAATGAGCCCAACTGCAGCCCTTTCAGAACATTTGAGTCTCACAGGAACTCAGTACCGTTTTGTGTTTTAATGAAACTTAATAGCGTTTGCTCATACCTTTCTGTTACATCAAAATTCATGCTTTTAATGCTTTAATTCTTGCTCTTATCACTGTGTACTTGCACGACAAGTAGCTAAATGTTTCTTGTTTGCCCGTAAAAGGCGTATGATTTTTTTTATACAAATGTTGTTTTTTGTTAAGTCGATTTGAATTATACTGCAAATTGTGTTTGTTGCAGATGTTTTCATTTTTAATTTTTGCTGTTGTTATATGCGAGCCACCTCGGCGTATTAACTACCTATTCATCAAGGAGCGCGTCTATGGCGTTCTGTTTTTTTTTATATGATGTCATTGCTGTCCGCCCGCGTCATGCTTAAAAAACATTTCCTTGTGACAATATGACTCCTTTTGGCACACGCTCTATTCTCGCCTAAGCTATTCAAGCGATTCGCCCAGGCACGATCCTTTAAAATTCTTTACTATGCACCTGCTTGGCCGATGGCCATACATTCAGACACTGACAACCAGAACTAAGTGGGCCCTCCTTTCTGTTCTTTCCCAGGGACAATGGTGGCCATGGTTTCAGTTGGCGGGTTCAGAGTGAAGCTGCTGGATGTCAGGGTTAGCGAGGGGCGGAGAAGGGCTGAGGCCAAGGAGACAGACGGTGGGGGTGGGGGTTTGGAAGCTGCCGCCGTCGTACTTGGGCGAGTCGAGTCCAGGTGAGCGTTAGTAAGGAGTGGCGCAGCCGTGGCCCAGCGCGCCGCCCTGGCCCTGTACAACGGGCCTACGTTCTGATACTCAGCCCGCACCGAGCTGGACGCGATAGGGGGCGCGAACGCAGCGCCCGCAGCCAGAGGAGAGAGGAGCGGAGGAGGGGCTAGTGGCCAAGCCATCTCCGCCTCATTGCTGCTCATGCACAGTGAAAACAAACCCCCGCAACCAAACCAGGAACACAGGCGAAACAAAGAAGTAAGAGATGATGAGAAAGGGGGAAGTGATTCAAGAAAGAAAGAGTGAAAAAAAGGATCAAACTGTAAAAAGCGAAATGTTTGTTCGGTAGGATTCTGAATCCCTTTTACAAATAATGCTGCCTCAAGTTCGCTGAACGCTGTGCTGTTAGGAGTTCGGTCATGAGCTTGGAGGGGAGGTAATATGTTTGTGGTATGCATATTAGTTAGCATGTGTAGTCGACCCATACGCATGCCGATCACAACGCGACCTCAATGATGACAGCCTCTTGAACCTTTCCCTTGTGAAAAGAGAAGCTTGAAATAAAAGTAGAACAATACTCGCTCCAAGCAAAGGTTGCACAATGAAAAAAAATGAATTTAGAAAAGACAAAAGCGTTTCTTTTTATATAAAAGCTTTCAAAGTGTCAGCTCTTCTGTAACTTGTGCCAAAAGAGATTTGGTGCTTGGGCGATGGTCAGCGCCCGTTCAAATGCGAAATGCAGGCGCTTCTGTGTGAGGTGTAAGCAGGGGGCTTCTGCTTGTGTTTTCCATATTCTCACTCGCCTGCCCCTGGGCCTTAGAAGGAGCTCTAAATAAAAACATACTGGCCGTTAATCATTTAAAAAGGTTCTTACATAACCGTAAAGGGTTGATCAATCTCAATACAAACTGTTCATTAACTAAAGCTTCTTAGCGGGCTCACCTTTCTGTACTCTAAGCTGCACAGAGTTGATGTTGCTTGATGAAGCCAGGCTCACAAATCCTCGGTCACCTCGCTTTCTGCCTCCCGTATGTCGGCATGACTGATAGGCCGGCTCAGCGTGTGTTTCTTGTCGCCTGCAGACGTAGCCGGCCGTGTCCTCCGGGTCTTGCCTGCCGACGAAGGTGTTCTTATGGAGAGGGATCAGACGAGGCGACTCAAGTTGCTATATAAAGCACACGATGGGACGTCTCTGTTTCAAGTAAGGACATTTGATATAATAGTTTGGTTGTAAAGCTGAAAAACAAACGGGAGCAGTGGTTTATTTTTACGATGAGTAGAAATCCAATCATTTAAGGTGTGAAGAAGAACGCGCTTTGTCATAGGAAGACTATGTTCAAACTCGCATCAGTGTATAATCTGAAACGCTCAAATTAATCCTTTTCCCTAACCATCAAGAATTTGTACAACTCATTTTCATATACATTAAAAAACCAGGAACCATAGCACGACAGACATACATACAAAAACCGCGCCTTCTCTAACAACCACAGGTTCTTTTATATTTCACACATGTTATAGCTTTTTGGATTAAGAAAATATATTTCATCCAGAGTAGCACCGCTGCTGTTTTGGAATATGTAAGGCTTCTGAGAAGATACAACGCTTCCGTTTTAGGTGGATACTTGGAAAATGCTTGCTGCTTGGCTGTGTTACTTATTTACTCTGCCTGGATTAATTAGGTTTCCTCTTTAACCACAGGTATAAACTGAGGCTCAATTGGTATCTTGATCTTGGTAAGCGGTACCTCACGCGGGTGAGGCGGTGAGTGTGCGGCGCGCGCCCTTTCTCCTCGCCCGGTCATGCGGCGATGTCGCCTTGTTGGGGTTGTTGCGCGGGGTTGCCCCCAGCGGGGGCTGGCGGGCGCGCCGGCGTTTTGAGCGGGTGCTGCGGTCTCGCAGTGTTTCTGGTACGCTCTCCTCCTCCTTGGCGCCTGTTCTCCGCCGTGTGGTGGGTCGTGACTCCTCTTTGTGTGTGTTTGAGTATCGTTTCTCTGTTGTGTGCGTTTCTGATCCGATCTGAAAGGGGGCAGATGTGGTATGTGCTTGTTGTTGTTTGTTGTCTCAGCAGTTCTTGTTTGTACCTCTGGCAAAACACTTCTCTCAAATTGTTTCTACTGGTACTTAACTCTATTGTTTTTTTTTTTGTTTTTTTCCGCTGTTCTGTTTGTTCTGAGATTTTTTTTTCTGAGACAACCTTTATGAGAAATATGTATATGATGTCTAAAGTGACTGAGGGTGCTGATCATCAGGACATTCTTGCCATGGGTCGTGATTAGTTCAGAGTTTTAAATACAATTGTCTGCTAATTATAATCTGTAGATTAAGCCTTACTTCACTATCAACAATAATGACGTGTGGCTGGTAGCCTCCATGAGAGTAATGTGTTCTGTCGCGTCACAGAACTATCACAACATTTGGATGATTGCTTAAGCCAAGAAATCATTCGTTCCAGCTTCTTCAAATTTGTATTGTTTATTCTCCTGTTCTATTTGTAGTTTCTGTTTAAAAAAAAAAAAAAAAAAAGCTCCAAAAATTCTTAATTTCTTTTACTTTGTGACATGTTTCACAGACATCTTAAAGATCCTTTTCTGTAATAATCTGTGTTAAATCGTAATTTAAATATCCTTTGGTGCTCTCTAGTGTCGCAACTGTGATTTGCAACTGTGTAAATGTTTCGGGTGGGTCTGGAAAATTATATATACGATCATTTCCTTATCGGGTATTCTTTATAAGGTGATTTCATTTCCTCATGATTTAGGTTTCTTAAATGTTCGTTAGTGCTAGTCCGTTTAAGCTGCAGACTCTAACAGGATAGAGGTAAGCAGTCAACTGAGTTTTGACTAAGCTTTCTGTCTGTGTGGTGCGCACTGGCCTGTGTAATAATGTGTTGTAGGAATGCTCTCTGGTTTGTAACAGACTTTGTATCAGCCAGCAAGAAGTCTTACTGATCCTGAAACAATCTCTTTATGCAGTGAGGGATGGCACAGTCATCAGGTTGGGCTTCTGGCTTCTCATGTTTTGATTTCTTCTTTTATTGGAGGAAATCTTAATGTGTAGTCCTACTATCCCCTAGGGGTGCCAGGCCTTTGAGCACTTTAGGCGCTTTCACACCGGAGTACTTTTCCCCGTGATTTTCCCGTTTGTTCTGAATTTTGCGTTCCACACAAAAAGGAACTTAGTCCAGCGAGAAGTTTTCCCCCATTAGTTCCGCTTGCTATAGAGGGCTGCGTATTTCCTGATTGGGCTGGGCGATTGCAACCCCCCCCATAAAGACTCTGTAAGGTTTTGTGGGGAAGCCGCCATCTGTTTGCTGGCATTACATATAGCATTCGACCCCGCGCACCAACGGAGGAGACTAACTATGGCACAACAAAAACCAAAGCATGGAGCCTGTGGTAGATGAGAGGTTCGGCGTTCTGACGCGTTTACTCGGACTGGCTCGTAGAGGCTTGCTGGGAGTTCCAGGCATGCTTCTACTGAAGCCAGTCCCCACTCGGCGGATCCGGCGGGGACTTCGGGTGGCAGTATACGCCGTGAAGTTGTTGCGGGTTGCCAGTAAACCAAAGCAGAAGAAGACNCGAACACAACTCGTCCCGTCATGCACGCCTCATGCCCGCCGTACACACACACTCATATGGAAGAGGCGGTCTCTCCCCCCAACAACAGTGCATTACATAACTGTAAAACGTATCATAACTGTGCACATCTTATACTTATTTGATAACTACTATATCCCTTGGTTACTTGAACACGCTACAATATTATTAACCAGTGTCCTACTTAGTGCAGAAGTAGACGCCTTAAACGTCACAGAAATTGGACATTTTAAAAATCGCTGCATACTCATTAGGCCTACTGCTAATTATTGTAATACAATAGCTGAATCACTTGTATGCAAAAAAAAAAGCAAGGGAACTTGCCCTTAACCTCATACTTCACACACACACGTCACAACATTCGGCTGCTCAAAACATGATATTATTCAGATTTCTATTGTAACAATCATTATATCACATCTATTAAAATATTGATATAAAGAAATATTTGTATTGGAACAGTTTTAGACGTAGTAATGCTGTAACATATTTCAGCCACTAGGGGGGCAATGCCCCCCCTGCCCCCCCGCAAAATCCGCCTATGCCTTACGGCGCCCCTGGCTACAATTAACAAAGTCATCAGTGGGCTTCCATACATACTCCAAATACAAAATACAGGTGTGTATAAAGCTCAATGTTTGTCATCATGTTTCATGCTTTTACTGAAGAGACATTAGTGTGTGAGCTTGGTAAGATAAGTTATTTAAAACATAAATGGAATTAAACCCTAAATGTTCAGGAAAATATTAAGAGAAATATGTCTGCTGCAATAAAACGCACCTTAAAATAGAGTTTAATTTCCCCTCTTTATATCTCTATAACGTCGCAGCCAACACGTTATATTAAAAAAATGATATATTAAATATAATAGATGTCATCTTAAATATGAAATCTTATATCTATTGAAATTAATATGTCAAATAAACCGCAGGTAGTCTCGTCTCCTGGCGACCGCGGCACCGGAAGTGTGCTTTTATGAAGCCGTTAAAAGCCAGTTGACGTCGGCTAGCTAACGTTAGCTGTCAGCCAGGTTCAGTCATTGTGCAGGATGGAGGTGACACGCCAAAGTAAGTAACCAGCCACATTTTGCTCTCATGATTCATAGCACGCTACATACACCTAAATATCGCACAACAGAGGAGTGAACTGATATGTATTTAAAATGGACAAAACTGGTTTCATTCCGTAGCTTTGTGTGCTGCTAGCTAGCAAGCTAGGTTGCTAGCTGCAAGCAAGGCTGCGGGGTTATGTGTGCTTGTGTTTGGCTACCACGCTTCCATTGATATTCATACACTTTCCCTTCTTTACAGATTTTAAAGACAGTTTAAAGACGGTTTACAGTGCGATAGAAGAGGCTGACTTCCTTGCCATCGATGGAGAATTTTCAGGTAACAGTGAGAGTTTTTAGCATGAACTGCGACTTAAATGGTTACAGCTGTGAATATAAGTGGGAGAAGTACTCAGATCTTGCACTTGAGTAAAAGTTTAAGTTCCAGAGTGCAGTAAACAAGTACAAGTCCTGCATTCAAAAAATGTTACTCAAGTAAAAGTACTTAAGTATTTGCATCAAAATGTACTTTAAGTATAAGGCATTCATTGGCTCATATAAGAATAATACAACTTGTGTTTTTGTATTCAAGATTCAAAGCTTTATTGTCATATGTATTGATGCATTCATGTTTATCAAAGGTGGAACTAATTTGTATTACTTTGCATGCTGCTCAGTAGCTTGTGAATTTACTCCAGGTATAACTAGTTTTATTTAAGTTTTGATTATATTTCTCTACAAAGTAAATACATGTAGTGGAGTAAGAGTAGCAACAATTTGAACTACTCAAGTAAAGTTCAAGTCCCTCAAAAGTACTTAAGTACAGTACTATCTACTTGGTTACTTTACACTACTGGCTGTGAATATAAATGGTGTGTTTATGTTCAGGGATAAGTGACGGTCCTAATGTGAGTGCACTTACCAATGGACTGGACACACCAGAGGAGAGATACACAAAGCTTAAAAAGGTGAGTGGAGTTGATAGTGCGCACATGTTTGCAGCCTTCTCTTTTCCCTCCATTTTCTAGTATAATCTCATTTTGATCTCTCTCTGTTCAACAGCACTCAATGGACTTTCTGCTGTTCCAGTTCGGCATATGCACATTCACTTACGACCAGGCAAAGTCAAAGTGAGTCACAACTGTTTCACAAATACACAACTATAGATCTGACGTTTCTATTTGGGAATAAATTAGAAGCCGAGACAAACCTAGACTTTGGGGAGCCCCGACAAAAGCAGCCTACTTTGGTGAGGCTCATGGGCACAGCCTTTGTTTCAACATGGTGGGATACATCATGGACATATTAAGATTAGAAGTCTCTCCAGCAGGACATATGAGATAACAACTCAACTCAGTGTGTTCTGATGAGTTATATAGCCCAAAGTCATGGTGGAAACGCAAAATTCAGATGGCAGGTAACAATTAAGTATATAAAAATACATTGCAGTAAGTGCTCATACATTATGTATCGCTTTAAATGTTTTATTCTCCTGTGAATCAACCTTTTCCATTTAATGTTATCCATGTCAACAAACATGGACATCCTTTTTTTGTGTTTTGTTTGAAAAAGTAACCTGTACATATGCACGGGACTATTTTAATTTCAAGAACTTTGTGTTTTCCTTCTAGCTTATTAACTGTAAATGGCCTTCTTATGGAAGGTTTAGTGATGAATATGTGTAATTTCTAAAATGAGTGGCTTGAGCCATACTTAAGATGGATCGTGTGATACATATCTCTAAATTCCTTTTTAAATCAAATGACTACCTAACAGACCAAGGCTTTGCACAGATCAAATGTAGGGTTTCACAGCTACTTTTCGCCTGTCGATCTTTACCAGGCTGTGCTTTGGTGTCAATCAGGTTATTTTTAATTAATTTGCAGCTGGTTGAATTATTTTTACTAACTCTTATTCTCCTGTTTTCCCTTCTCTCTGCAGGTATATCATAAAGCCTTTTAATTTTTATGTATTCCCAAAACCGTTCAACAGGACGTCCCCTGACCTAAAGTTCATCTGTCAGGTGAGGCAGCGATGTTCCTCGTGGTGATTGCATTGTTTCAGTGTGAACTGAGATGAATGCTTTTAAAAGGGACTATGACTTGGATAGTTTTTTGGTTTCAAAGTTGGTCAAATAAAAGATCATATTTTGTTATTTCAGAGTTCCAGCATCGACTTCCTGGCCAGTCAGGGGTTTGACTTCAACAAGGTGTTCTGTCATGGTGAGTAAACTGCAGAGTGACTGTAGCTCCATGCCAAGTCTCTGCTTGGTCATTTCCTCGCCTCTCGATCTTAGCTTGAACCGGGGGTTGTTTTTGTTTTGTTATAAAAGCAGAAACGCAACATTTCTTTCTCATCTTGCAATAGTCTAAATGTTTAAAGCCAACCTAGTCCTCTAGTAGAGAGACGAATAAACTAAGATGTTTCTCATTTTCAAAGGAATCCCGTACCTAAACAAGGAGGAGGAGGCGCAGCTGAGGGAGCAGACAGAGGAGAGGAGGAACCAACAAGCCAACGGTATCAATAATCAATCCTTCACCTCCCCGTCCTCCAAAGGCCCAGCACACGTACCTCAGGAACACAAAGACTACATCAACAGGGTGATGTATGTGTCACTCATGTTTTTTCTATAAAGAGTATTGTTGGTAACCATTGTTGCATTAGTGTGCGTTATATTTGATCACTCGTGTTGTATAGTTCTTGAGTGGCTGCTAAGACAAAAAAAGCTTCCATTTCCCCATCATGGCTTTTTAGGACTTAATTTTTATCTGACAACTTACATTTTTGATGTGCTATTGTGTTTAATGTCTTGCAAATTCTTACCTTTCACAGTTAGTTCTTGTAAGTTCTTTGTTTTGACCTGTTCGAAGCCACTCCAGATGTGAATTGGCGTAAAGCTATAATTTAATACTTTGCATGAAATGGTTACAATTTTAAACTGTACATTGTCCCTTCTTCTGAAAAATAACTGTAAAAAATGTGTTTTACTTGATCAATGTTATTTTCTATTATAAATTGCTTTACGCACGCTGCATAATGAGACCCTTTTTGTGTTTTGATCATTTCTACCCCCCCAGAGCGAAGGTGGAGGGTCTCTTCACGAGCTCAGAGAAGACTTTGGACCTGGAGCCATGCACTGGGTAATCTAGCAAAACGAACCCTAACCTAAATGTTCATTTTGTGTTTTTATTTTCATTACTTACATTTTATATTTCCTTATCAGGTTTCAGAGAAAGCTGATCTACCAGACGCTGAACTGGAAGTGAGTCACTCAACATTTTTGTAGATTTTGGGTTTGTTTGAATAAGATTAAGATGTGTGGTGTTCACAGGTTTCCCAAGGGGCTTCATGTAGAAACTGTAGAAACAGAAAAGGTAAGAATGCGTTTTTTAATTCAACCAATTTTGCCCTTTTTTGTTTTGAGTTTTATCTGTATATAAGGTATTTTTAAAATATTGACTATTTGTGCGCAGAAGGAACGGTTCATCCAGGTCTGCAAAGTAGATGATGAAGAGAGGAAGAGGAGGGAACAGCAGAAACTGGAGAGGGAGCAGGTAGGAACTGTCAGGAGCATCTTGAACATTAGGATGCAGCTGGTTTACGTCCCATCTCATAATTCTTTACCCCAACAGGAGGAGGTAAACGACGCCGTTGGCTTCTCCAGGGTCATCCACGCCATCTCCAAATCTGTGAGTCGACCTCAAGGTTTTTTTCTGTCAAACTGCACATTTTTTATGGGATTTTTTTTGTATTTATTATTTGAACGATAACTCTTAAAACGGGGGATAGCAAGTTCGAGTCCCACTGCAGTCAGCATGTCGTTGTGTCCCTGAGACACTTCACCCCAAATTGCTCCTGTGGGGATTGCCCACAGTACTGAATGTATGTAAGTCGCTTTGGATAAAAGCGTCTAACGTAATGTAAAAAATGAGAATTGACTAATCAGCAGTTCAAATGCATTACTCGTGTTTAATTTCATCATTACTGGTCACTTTTGACCTTTTCAAGTTTTTACAGTAAATGTGGAATGAACCCTTTCCATCCGACACACAGGGTAAACTCGTGGTTGGCCACAACATGCTGTTAGATGTGATGCACACCATCCAGCAGTTCTACCTCCCTCTGCCAGAGGTAAACAACCCGAGCTAGCTGTATACACATTTTATGTTTCCGCAGGAATGTCAATTATTCATTATGTTTGCCAATGCTCTTTCCTTCAGGATCTTCCAGACTTTAAAGAGGTCACCATGTGTGTGTTCCCGAGGTAATATCCCTCAGCTTTGCTTTTATATTGTTGAAATAACAGACACTTTTTTGTTTAATGCTTAACATTTTTATATTTCCACTTGCAGACTCCTGGACACAAAGTTGATGGCGTCCACTCAGCCGTTTAAGGTAAATGATCTGTCAGTGCTGAAGCAGACCAGAAGCACCCATATGCTTTTGGTGATTTGAGAAACCTATATTTATATAAGCCCTTACATGCTAAACTCTTATTGCACTTTTGGTAACGAGCATTGTCCACATCGAGACGGGTAAAGTTTAACCACACCTCGGAGCGCGTTCTCTCCGCCATCTCCTCCGTGTGTGTTGCTGCATGTAGCAGCTGTGTGTGTGTTGCTGCATGTAGCAGCTGTGTGTGTGTTGCTGCATGTAGCAGCTGTGTGTGTGTTGCTGCATGTAGCAGCTGCGTGTGTGTTGCTGCATGTAGCAGCTGCGTGTGTGTTGCTGCATGTAGCAGCTGCGTGTGTGTTGCTGCATGTAGCAGCTGCGTGTGTGTTGCTGCATGTAGCAGCTGCGTGTGTGTTGCTGCATGTAGCAGCTGTGTGTGTAAACGGCCCCGCCCCCTTGCAAGCAGGCGGGGGAGAGATCTCTCAATAATCATAGACGCATTTTGCAGTCTTTTTGCGTTTTTAGAAACAGAGTTGGCGATTAAAACTGCAATATAATGTTTGTGTAGCAATAATACATATGACATATATTTTTTACACGTCTCCAATACCTATTAAAAAGGCCGATAGCGTCGGAGCTTAACGGTACCACGGTCTTTAATAATTCAGCCCCGGGGCCCGTTTGATACCGGGGCTCGGTACCCATCCCTAGCTGTAATGACAGGATAACCTCCAGAATCGGATTCAGGTGTTGGAGCATCAAGCAAAGAAGTAGCACTAAAGCAATTCAACTGAGGCTATTGTNGTGTGCCTTGGCAGTCTCAGGCCCAGTCAGAGTCCTGACCTCAACCCAATTGAGATGCTGTGGCATGACCTCAAGAGAGCGATTCACACCAGACATCCCAAGAATATTGCTGAACTGAAACAGTTTTGTAAAGAGGAATGGTCCAGAATTCTTCCTGACCGTTGTGCAGGTCTGATATGCAACTATAGGAA